TTCTGAATCTTTCACTGAACACCTTATAAATTCAGAGCCTGGCATGGCAGGGAGAAAGAGGAATCCTACACACAAATGCACATAAGTGGTTTAGGTAACCTGGAGCATTAACTGATTTGCACTCATTCAGGTCATAGTTACTTCAAGGAGGGGGAAACAGAGGAGAGTGACAGGGAGTTTCAAAGTGCTTCAAACACCTTTGCATTGTTTCCCTGTGTATATTGCATAGAAGATGTGAGACAGTGCTAGTGTTTGGTACTGTAAAACAGAATACAGTGTGGATAGCCTGAGATTTACTCATGGTCAGTAGGCAGGTCACAAGACTACTAAGGGAGAGCCCACGGGCATTGAATATTGACCATAAACCTGTACTGAGCTAAACGTTTTATATTTAATTTTTTATGTAAAAATGATATTTAGGAGTTAGAGAGATGGCTCAGTAGAATAATGGCCCTGGCAAGTGCAAGGGCCTGAGTTCAATCCCCAGTTCTGCCAGGAAAAAAAAAAAAAAAAAGATATTTAATCTCCACCCTTGAGCTGGAGATGAATCTAGGGCCTCCTCCAGGCGTTAGCATGGGCTTTTCTTCCACACTCTAGGGGTTAAAAACTTGTGTTATTTCCATTCGTGTAAATGGGCTAAGATAAGAAGCTCCACCAAGCAGAGAACTCTAAACACCAGCGACTCTTCCTGTGCTCTGCTGCAGCCTCCTCCGGATCACTCTCTGACAGGCAGGTCATGACAAAGCCCTTGATGTTGCTGGGCTGCGATGCCTGGGGCGCCGCAGAAGCAGCACTCGGTCCTCCTTGGAAGAGTCTAAAAAGGATGCATAGAGGAAAAGATGTTTTTCGGGAAATCTAAGTAAGTGTACAATAGGCAGACTGGGAACTGGTGGGTAGGGGGGCAGCAACTGGGGCTCAAGGGGGTGCTCTGGGCGCCTAAACTTGGAGCGTCCCTCCCCGCGCGCTGCAGACACCGCTGGATTCCTAAAGGGGACGCTGGAGCAGTGGGCACAAGACCACCCAAACAGGGCTGGAATAGGAGCTCCTAGTACGGCCCGTGCGGGTGTGTGGACTCTTCGGGGTCCTTCCTGTAATCTCCTCGGGATCCAAAGTCCAGAGGCTGTCCGCCCTTGAGAAGCCCCACCCTCTCTTACAGAGTGCTATAAATCCAATTCCTGAGCGCTCCGCAGTGCAAGCAATCCTCGAGGTACCTCTAGGAAGTGCGACCAGCAGACTCTCGTAAGTCGAAGTCCTTTTCTCTCGCATCCCTTCTTCCCGCCTCCGGTCTTCTTCAGGCCGCAGCCGCGGAGGAGCTTTACCTTCAGCTCTCTGGTCCTAGCTCCGCGGAGGCCGCCTCTGACGCTCCCTGAAACTTGGGATCCGGGTCCCAAGCTTCCGCTCCTGCAGGTTGTTCGAAAGACCGGCAAGGGGCGCTGCTTTTCCGGTCATCCCGCAGCTGCCTGCACCTAGGAAGGGGCTGTGCGAGGAATCCAGTGACTGCAAAGCTGGGGCACGTATGCTCGAGAAGGTAGATAGGAGTCGGGATTCTGGACGTAGTCCAGACCCCTTCCTTGAGGCTGCGGGACCCTCCCTGTACTGCACCGACCTCCGCGGAAGGCCCTTCCTAGCGGGGGCGTCAGGATTTCTGGCGAGTTGAATTAAAGGCAGTTGCTTTTTGGAAAGAGAGAGACAAGAATATTTTGGAGTCAGAGAGAGAGAGAGAGA